GATCTTCTTGCAACCGGTCTTGAAATTTTCCAAATTTTTCGGGAAAGACTGCTAAGAGAGTTTTTTGAAGTTTTGCCCACCCACGCATTCAGTCTTTTTGTTTGTTTGACCGCGAACTCCTCCTGCATTTGTGGACCGATCTTCTTGCAACGGGTCATGAAATTTTCTAAATTTTTCGGGAAAAACTGCTAAGAGGGTTTTTTAAATTTTTGCCCACCAACGCACCCACCTACGCATTCAAACTGTTCGTTTGTCCGCGAGTTAATCAGCCATTTGTGGACCGATCTTCTTGCAATCGGTCTCTAAATTTTCCAAACGGAGATGGCTGCTAAGTGGGTTTTTGAAAGTTTTGCCCACCAACGCATCCACCCACGCATTCACACTGTCTGTCTGTCTGGCCGCGAGTTAATTAGTCATTTGTGGACCGATCTTCTTGCAACCACGGTAAAATTAGAAAAATTTTCAGACTGGTTGCGGGAAAACCGAATAATTTTTTGTACAAAAATCTAAAACTACGGTTCTTTAAAATTACAAACGGTTTAATTTAAAGAACAAATCAATCAAATCCTTAGAAAATACATAGGAAATCGATATTCGATTGTGTGAATTTTGCGAAGCTGGCCGAGCGCTGCTCATCTCACAAAATATTATATAAGTTGCTGTTTTCATATATTAAATGAAAAGAGGGGAGAGCGCCGGAGAGAGTATTTCATCCAATTAAAAAAAAAAATAGAAAATCAAGAAATTGAAGAAATTTTGACTTAAAATACAAAAAAAAGAAAAGAAAAAGGATATACTACAGCGCGAAGCGCGAGCTTAAAAGCTATATACAATGAATAATGAGAGTGGATTAAGCCTATTGGGGAAACCACTTAAAAAAAACGCGCCAAGCTATCTACCACAAGGTGGTGTGGAAATGATAGCTTAGAGAAGAAAAAAAGACAAAATACCCCAAAAAAATTTCAAAATCAGTTTCGAGGTTTCCTTGTACAGGGAGATTATGGTCCGATTTTTGTGAAATCGGTATAAAATGTTGCAAATTTTTCGGAGAAGAATTTCCCGACTGAGTTTTTAAAATCTGTGACACCCTCTGGAATGCCAGTTCATCGACTCAAAATAAAAATAAGCTACAATTATTCTATTAAGGAATTTTAATACCAAGAAAGGACTATGCAATGGCACAGGATTCATTGTTATTCATCTAAAATCTAATCTGATTCATGCTTTTACTAGCTTTTAAGCCCGCGCTTCGCGAAGCGCGGGCGAAAAAGCTAGTATGTCCATATCTCTCAGTATTTTTTTTAAAAGCTACAATCATCATAGATTCACATGATTAAAAATTTTCTTGTTTCGAATAAGAGCTACGTTCGGCATTGCAAATCTGGAACGTCTGAGTGCTTTCTTGAGTGAACGAGTGTTCGGAAGCGCGGTTGAAAACGCGCACGCGGACAAAGAAGATCGGACAAATTACTAAAGAAGATGCAGCACACTTGATTCAATAAAGGACAAGTCACAACTAGTTTATTTCAGTCATAAAAGAGAACAGTCCAGAATAATCGCGGGTCGGTATATCAAGAGACGTTAGGAAAAGCGCAAGCAAACTTTTGTCGGAGCGGTGAAACACGCGACTAGAGCGGCTCTGGCCCAAACAGAATGCGGCAGGTTCATTTATCTGAGTCCAAATTTTACCCCCCAGTCGGTGGGGCACCAATCAACCCTCAACTTGTTCAAAGTTTTAAGGTGACCCTCGATTACCAAGAGTGATTGGCAATCGAGAGTCACCGCGTTCTCTGACGCGCGCCCGACAGGTGCGTTCGCGCTGCAGTCGACGCGATTGGCGGTAGAGTTCGTTAGTTGCCGGCAATGAGTCGTTGACACGAGCTCGCCGTCGTTGCGAAGACGCGAACATGTCACAACGTTTGGAGCGAATTGTTTTAAGAAAAGGTGTACAGCCCGGGCTTTCTCGGTGTCCTCGAGGCAAAGAGAGTAACAAACGCGATGACAATTCGCTGGTCCGAGCGTCTCTCATGAATCTTCCAGAGGCCCGCGCTGTACACCTGAAGCTATCGATAGCTTGAGAGAAATGATAGACGCATTGCGCGTGAAATGTCCGATCTCGAACAACGAGAGAAGAATGAGAGATAAAAAGAGAAGGAGCACTTTGACATTTAAGAAAGATTAGCTATGCTGAACATAACAGATATATATGCGCATTCGTATACTTACTTTATTATTATTATTATACGAGAGAGAACCACGAAAGAACCGATGTCCGTTTTGTATGATATGATATTAACCTTGTGTCGTTAACCACGATGTTAAACTTCTATACAAGTCCTGAGTCTGAGAAATAGTGTAGCCAATCAAGCAAATATATTAAACGAAAAATCTGAGGGCCTGTCAACTCGCGTACTCGCGTATACCCGCGTAAACTACACACCCGTCGGTCTTGCGCGCGCGGTTCAAGCTACGCTTATACTTAGCGCAAAACACTACCATATCTCGTGATGATTAACCTTGTGTCTACGATGTTAGATTTCCGGATGCTCAGTCTGAGGCAATATTAACGGTAATTAATATATTAACTACATGGTTCTCGGATTGAGATCTCGATCCAAGATCTAGCACAATAACTATGTTTACGTTCACTGATCGTGCACACTTACACTGACAGCTTTGTTTACGCGCACTCGGCGGTAAATCGAGCTTTCGGAAGTCGTCGGTTATAACATCGGTAATGTTACGCGTCGGTAACATCGGTAATGTCAGTCACGTCAGCGCAGCGCCAATGCCACGTTGCGACAGAAAAGTGAAAAGGACTGTTGCCGCGCCGCTCCGTGCGCGGTGTATTTTCCCTCTTACTCGCTCCGGAGGGGTTCTCTGACGAGAACCGAAAGGATTCTTTGATGGGATGTGGCTAGTCGGAGGTCACTTCAAAAAGGCACCGTTTAACTATCACTATGTAGCTTTATTCAGCTGAGTGTTACACTGATGGTTTACGGCAGGCCGGAGGCCTGACGGACAAATGCTTAGCGCGTAAACGTATACTATCGAATGACGCGTGCCCCGATCTCGAGCTTTCCTCTGGTTTTAAGCCCGATGATCGAGGCGTCAGCGTTCTCGGTACTCGATAGCGGTCATTCGTAATCGGGTCGAGAACTTGCTGACTTCTTCTTCGAATTTAATTAAGTTGTGCGGTCGGGCTTTTGTGGTTCGATCGCGCAATATGCTTACGCTAGTGTTATTCTAATTGCAGTTACAATGCTTGAGTGCCCTCCTTACCTTTATGCAATCGGGGCACAACATCCCTCCCCCTTTGGAAGAAGGAAAACGGATGAAGTTTTCCGCTCATGGGTTTACCCTCTACCTTTTCCTTGTTCCTTACAGTATTTCTTTACAATGTATGCTTAGTACAGCATCGCGGGTTCGCGGTTAACATAGTTTGGTGTATTTTGTTGTATTTTCGTTCTACGGTATATTATCCATGCGCTTATGCCTATTATGCTAATTATAATTATTGCCATACCCGATCCTTGTGAGTGCGTGACATTTGTTCGCGAATATGTGTCTTCTTTCGCACGCGTTTAGGTGGCCAGGGGCCTTTACATAAGTTTGCACCTCGCATGGTGCGTCTACGTTCACATTGTATGACAGAAATGCTTGATCGTATACATAATTTTACTCGGTTCGCGTACATGTTTCTAGCTCGCGTTTCTTGACTATTAGGCAGTTTTTTTTTGTTCATTTATCCTATCTTCTATCTTTTATTCCTGTCCCTTCCCCCCTTGTTTGTAGTTTTATGCGCCTAATATTCTACAAAGGGTTTTAGGCGGTTTATGTGCACTCGTAGGCTTCGTCGTCCCTTTTTTTTGTATAGTTTACTTCCGAGTGCTTCTCCGTAATGACGTACGGACCTATCCATTGAGAATCTAGTTTTTTCGAGCGTCCTCTCCTTACGGTTTCGTCGTGTAGGAGTACCTTTTCCCCTACTTTAAACTCTACAGTTTTAGTTCGTCTGTCATATTGCGTTTTTGCTTTTTCTTTCTTGACTATTAAGTGTTCCTTCGCTGTCTGTTGCGTAGCTCGCATTCTCTCGCGTAGTTCTTGCGCGTAGTCATCGTACGAGTACGTCTGTCGCGGCGGTTGAGTCAGGGCCGTAGGTAGAGTCGCTCGGTGCCCGTATATCAATTCGTGTGGAGTGTATCCTGTCGTGCTATGTGGCGTTGTGTTATACACCTAAAAAACTTACCTTTTTAAAAAAGGTAAAAAAAGCACCAAGTCTAAGCTCCAATTCAACCGAATATATTTTGTTACATCTTTTTTGCAAAAGTATAATCTCTACAAAAATATCTTCACTGCAAAAGTATCTTCTTTACAAAAATAGTGTCTCCACAAAAATCTTCTGTACAAAAATATCTTCTCTACAAAACTATCTTCTCTACAAAAG